TTGGATGTAAATACCCTAAAATTAAAGCTGACAGTCTGCAAGTTAAAGCACATCTTGTTTTTTCATTTCAAATCCATTGTGTTGGTGTATAGAGCCAAAAATGTTAGAATTGTGTCAATGTCCCAATACTTATGGACCTGACTGTATATATATATAAAATGGAAAATTGTTATCAATACTTACCATAGCTATCCTTTCCTGGCCTGTCCTCGTGTCAGCACCCTTTGGGTTAACTCCTCCTCTTGACAGGACCTACAGGACCTCCTTTTCCTAGCTTATAAAGAAGAGGCTCTCCCTTTCTTATTCTGTAATATAGCAGTAACAGGCCACTTACGGGGAAGAAAATTGTTCTATAAATTCAAAAGTTGCTTTCAGCCTTTGTAAATCTACAGCTTTTGTTAAAACAATATCTGCCGAGCCTGCAATGAAAGTAATTGTTTACTTATACGGTGATTATTATCTGTGCCTATCTCCCAATTTTGCCTCATCATTGACACCCTGTCACCCTGTCACATAATCTCTTGATGGACAAAGGTGGTCCTGCTAAAATAAAATGCGCAGCCATAGTCCAATATTGTCACCATCAGGAAGTCAGGTGCACAGCTGACACAGGACTGCATCTAGCCAGGAAATGATTGAAAGGGGTTTGAAGAAATTGTCAGCATGTAGTTGTACAAAATATGAAAAAAGGTCACAACATTGTTTTATGAAAAAAAACATGACAATTGTTTATAATACACAATTCTATAAAAAAACTAAATGTCATCTAGTTAGGGTTTATATCAGCATTAACCATGTGTAAAGTTGTATAACAAAACACACATTGAAAGTGTTCCTTGATGGACATCTAAAGCCAAAAAGAATAGTAAATTGTAAAAATCGATGTAAGTTGTTTTTTTTTGCCATCTGTGTAAACTGGGAAGATTTCCTTCTACTTCCTATCTTGTAGAAACTATGGGAAAGAAGGGGGAATTTTTCAGAGAGGTAATAACATAGATATACAGTAGATAGTTGTCACCAGAACAGGTGTCCCTATATATTGGTGACAAATAGAGATGGTAAAGCTCTCCAAAGGGGACACAGGCAGCAATAAAACACAACAAAAGTTCTAACCCCTCATCCCTCTATCCAAAGCTAGATAAAAAAAACAGTTTGGTATCTAGATTCACTTGAAATTTTATTTATTGTGAAATACATATAAACCACGGAGGATACCATATTACCAATTTAAACTTGATGTGCTATAAATAAAAACAACATTAGAGGCGATCTTACAGTTCTGTAATCTTGATAGGATCAATTAACACGAAGCCCTTGTGATTATAAAATATGGAGATGTCTACTGAAATAGTTTCCTATATAGGAAATCTGTGGCTTTTAATTTTAAAATTAAAAATTCAAATAGCAATTTTCACAGCTTTATAGCAGAGTGATGGCAGGTCCTTCAAAGCTAGTAGCTTCCAGATGCCTTCCGAAGTCATATTCCTCTCTGAAGAAAACAGCAACATATGTGAAAGTGGACTTCATACATGAATCTGTCATTTTCAACCCCAAGACAGATGGTTTGTTTTGCATCCCCATATCAGCCTTATTCAAGGTTTGCAACTTTCACATCCCAAATGGAATGGCAAGAATTAAACAGGCTAGCTGCTATTTACTGATATGCTCTAGGCTTTGTCGCCACATTTCAGGTTGCATCACTCTTGTAAAATCAGGAAACTAATGTGTTTTAATGGATTTAGTTTTAAATACTGTCTACAAAAAGACATGCCCCTGGTGTAAGCTGTTTCTACAAAAGAGAATAGAATAGCTGTCATGGGAGTGAAACAGTTAATTCCTCTCAAGAAATCACCTTGCTAGTTGAGCTGTGAGAAGTGTGTTGAAGTCCAAATGGTGTATCATCTGAAGCAAACTACAGAACATTTTTAGAGAATAGTGGTCATGTAGTGTATATCATCTTGTTACCTTTCCATGCACTGTTAATGCAGTATATGTCATACAACCATGCTTCTTTATTACCATAAAAGATCAAGAATGTTGTTAGTACCAGTTGTGACTAGCAAGGAATGCATGGTACATGTTGCCTGAAAGGTAGAATAGAAGAAACACCCCATATTATCTTTACCCTCATGTCAGGATTACTAATTAGTGTAGTACATGCCTGAAGGTCATCAATACCAAGTGCAGGATATGTGACAAGGGCTCCTCAGTCTAAAGCTGGCCATACATGGATAAAAATTCAGCCAATTCAGCACGAATTTTGATCCATGTATGGCAGTTCTCGTTCATGAGAAGCCAAACCCTCTATCGACTTTTCATAAGCGGGCATGTTGGAAAGCCTCCATTCGATCAGTGCATGCAGCCAATGGGCTGCAGTACAGATCAATCTATACCAGGGGTCTCCAAACTTTCTAAAGAAAGGGCCAGTTTACTGTCCTTCAGACTTTAGGGGGGGCCGGACCATGCCCTGTGGGACTAAACAATGCCCAATCTTTGGTATTAGGGGGAGAAGTAGTTGGTGTGAGTGGGAGGAATAGTGCCCCATTGTTGGTGTCAGTGGCAGTAATTATGCCCCATTGTTGGTGTCAGTGGCAGCAATTATGCCTCATTGCTGGTGTCAGTGGCAGCAATTATGCCCCATTGTTGGTGTCAGTGGCAGGAATTATGCCCCCTTGTTGATGTCAGTGACAGAAATTATGCCCCATTGTTGGTGTCAGTGGAAGCAATAGTGCCCCATTGTTGGTGTTAGTGGCAGGAATAATGCCTCAAGGGCCGGATAAAGGCAAGCAAAGGGCCACATCCTGCCCAAGGAGACCACTGGTCTATACTGATGGTGAGAAAGTCCCTCTGTCGGAATACAATGACACAGTGGGGATAATTTTCCCATCTACCTTGAATGTGCAGATGCTGAAATTGGCACAGTTTTTCTTTCGTTTAGCCAGACAATTGAATGAAAAGAAATGTATGTCCAGCTTAAGGAAGAATCAACCTCTTCTTTTCATATGTAACTTTGTTAACAAATGTATATCTATCTGATTTGTGTCAAAATATATTCCTTTTTACCCACACTTCCAAAAATGTTTGAACCTTTATACATACCTCTCAACTTTCTGAAATGAGAAAGTAGGACACCCATTAGCACCAAGTATTTAGGTAAAAGAAACACTTTTTCTACACCCTCTAGTTATGCAAGCAACGAAGAATTAACACTAGTGATGTCGACATATGGTCGACTCGAACATTGGCTGTTCAAATGCTAAGGGCGTTCGGCGGGCTGATCGCCCACAATGCCCCACAATACACTGCACTCTGACAGTGCATTGTGACTGGTCAAAGCAATGCACCTTACCACAGGTCAGGTGCAATGCTTTGGCCAATCACGGCTCAATTGGGAGGAGCTAGTGGTGACACCACCTCTAGCTCCGCCCAATTGTTTACATCTGACCGGCAAATGTCAGATAGTGGCGAGTGCTTGGCAGGTGCAGACAGCTCAGCGGGCGTCAGTTTTTTTTATTTCGGCAAGTCGGCGTTGTTGTGACATGATTGACGATGGATTACAACGATGGAACGATTTTTTTTTTTTTAATGAAGGACTTGTCAAAAACTGTTGTTGTCTTTTTATTCACATTTTACATTTTTTTGGTGAATGAGCAGGGGTACTATGTACCCCATACCTATTCACAAGCAGGGTCTTGTTAAAGGGGGCTTCCAGATTCCAATAAGTCACCCCCGCAGACCCTCACAACCACAGCCCAGAGTTGTCGGAAAGAGGGCCTTGTCCTCCTCAACATGGGTACAAGGTGCTTTTGGAGGATCCCCCCACCCCAAAGAAACCTTGTGGACATGTGGACTGGTACAGTTCTGGAGAAGGGGGTTGCTCACTTGTATGAGTTTAGGGGGGACCCCATGCTTTTTTTCCCCCATTTTTGGGGGGTGGGGTGGGGTTCCCCTTAAAATTCCTACCAGGCCTAAAGGGCCTGGTATGGCTTTTAGAGGGAACCCCATGCACCCCCCCCCCCCATTTTTGTGAGGTGCGGTTCCCCCTAAAGAGCCTAGTGGGGGAAGCCCACATACTTTAAAAAAAATTACTGTGAGATCCCTTCAGACCTAAAGGGTAAGGATTAAGAGAGGGGACCCCATGTTGTTGTTTTTTTATTTTTAGAAAAATGCCATTTTTTTTAAGAAAATGTCGGTCCTACTGCAGCAGGTTCTATACATTGTATAGATGTGCAACTTTGCAGGTAGTTTTAAGGGGACCCCCCAGGTTCTTTGGGGTTCTTTTTTATTTTTTAATTTAAGCAATGAAAAATGACTACCCCTTTAAAAATGGTACTTTTTGATTTTTTTTACACTGATTCATGTCCCTCAGGGCAGTACCTGAGTCCCCATACCCCTTTTATGGCCAATAACTTGCATATAAGCTTTCAAAATGGGCACTTTTGAATTTACAAGTTCAAGTCCCATAGACTTGCATTAATTTTAAAGTTTGCGGTTGAACTTTCACTAGGTTGAAATGTTTGACCGCAAACCGAACAGGGGGTGTTCAGTCCATCACTAATTAACACACTAATGATGACTGTTCAAACCCACAAGTACTTTTTTCAACACTTTGTTTCCATTTTATTGCCTTTTTAAAATAACAAAGTCAATAATTTAGAGGTTCAATAAAAGGTTTAGTGCAGTATGACGCTAAAAGTAAAAAAGTAAATTTCGTCAATTTTATATATGTTAGGGCAAAAAGAGGGACAGCTGGACAGAGGCAGAGGGATTTGCCTCCAAAAGGACAGTCCCTTAAAATGAGGGACAGATAGTGGCTATGCTATACATAATATTACAGTAGTCTGAACCTTATTAAAGTTGTACTCTTGTTTAAGTAGGGTCACATAGTGCTTGCTGTAAGAAGAGTTACCGTATTTTTCACTCCATAAGATACACCTGCCCATAAGACGCGCCTAGGTTTTAGAGGAGATAAAAAAGAGAAAAAATACTCTGAACCAATGGACTGCAGACATTGTACAGGAAACGACCAGAGACTTCAGACATAGTACAGGAGATGACCAGAGACTGCGGACACAGTACAGGAGATGACCAGAGACTGCGGACACAGTACAGGAGATGACCAGAGACTGCGGACACAGTACAGGTGATGACCAGAGACTGCGGACATAGTACAGGAGATAACCAGAGACTGCGGACATAGTACAGGGGATGACCAGAGACTGCAGACATACTACAGGAGATGACCAGAGACTGCGGACACAGTACAGGGGATGAGCAGAGACTGCGGACACAGTACAGGAGATGACCAGAGACTGCGGACACAGTACAGGAGATGACCAGAGACTGCGGACACAGTACAGGAGATGACCAGAGACTGCGGACACAGTACAGATGATCAGAGACTGCGGACACAGTACAGATGACCAGAGGCTGCAGACACAGTACAGGAGATGACCAGAGACTGCAGACAGTACAGGGGATGACCAGAGACTGCAGAGAGTACAGGAGATGACCAGAGACTGCAGACAGTACAGGGGATGACCAGAGACTGCGGACATAGTACAGGAGATGACCAGAGACTGCAGACAGTACAGGGACTGACCAAGAGACTGTGGACCTTTGGGGAGGGAGGGGGAGCGGGGTACCTGAATTTGACAGGTATCTGCTCCCACTTCCGCGGAATTGTCCTTCCTTTAATGTGGGCACCCGGCTGTGACAGCCGGGTGCCCACTGCACATGTGCAAGAAGTGCTGTGCTTTGTCCCGGCATGACTTGTCATGTGTCCCAGAAGACGCCGGACTATTCACAAAGCACAGTGCTTCTTGCTCATGTGCAGTGGACACCTGGCTGTCACAGATACCGGCACAGGAAGATGCCGGCGCGGGAAGACTGTACAGCGCTGGACCGAGGAACAGGTAAAATCCTGCTGCAGAGAAGAGCTGAGCGGCCGGCTCGGTATTCTGACACGGTGGCGGCGACGGCGGAAATACCGGACTGGCCGCTCCATATTCGCTCCATAAGACGCACTGCCATTTTCCCCCCTTTTTGGGGGGAAAAAGTGCATCTTATGGAGCGAAAAATAAGGTAATTGGTTATTTAAAGCATCTTTCCACAGATCTGATTTTTTAGTTTTGGTAGACAGTGGTCAGTTTAACCACCTGACAGTTTCTTGTATTATTTGGAGACTCTATTGGTAGGATATACAATGCCTTGAAAAAGTATTCATACCCCTTGAACTTTTCCACATTTAGTCATGTTACAACCAAAAACATAGGTGAACCTCCGCCCCAGTCTGAAGTCTTTTGCAGACTTTACCAGGTTTTCTTCTAAGATTGCCCTGTATTTGGCTCATCCATCTTCCCATCAACTCTGACAAGCTTCCCTGTCCCTGCTGAAGAAAAGCATCCCCACAACATTATGCTGCCACCACCATGTTTCAAGGTGGGGATGGTGTGTTTCAGGGTGATGTGCAGTGTTAGTTTTCCACCCCACATAGTATTTGCTTTTAGGCCAAAAAGTTAAATTTTGGTCTCATCTGACCAGAGCACCTTCTTCCACATGTTTGCTGTGTCCCCCACATGGCTTCTCGCAAATTGCAAAAGGGACTTCTTATGGCTTTCTTTCAACAATGGCTTTCTTCTTGCCACTCTTCCATAAAGCCCAGATTTGTGGAGTGCACGACTAATAGATGTCCTGTGAACAGATTCTCTCACCTGAGCTGTGGATCTCTGCAGCTCCTACAGAGTTACCATGGGCCTCTTGGCTGCTGCTCTGATTAATGATCTCCTTGCCCGGCCTGTCAGTTTAGGTGGATGGTCATGTCTTGGTAGGTTTGCAGTTGTGCCATACTCCATTTTTGGATGATGGCTTGAACAGTGCTCCGTAAGATGTTCAAAGCTTGGGATTTTTTTAATAACCTTACCCTGCTTTAAACGTATCCACAACTTTATCCCTGACCTGTCTGGTGCCTTGGCCTTCACGATGCTCTTTGTTCACTAATGTTCACTAACAAACCTCTGGAGGCTTCACATAACAACTGTATTTATACTGAGATTAAATTACACACAGGTGGACTCTAGTTACTAATTGGGTGACTTCTGAAGGCAATTGGTTCCATTAGATTTTAGTTATGGGTATCAGTGAAAAGGGGGCTGAATACAAATGCAAGCCTCACTTTTCAGATATTTATTTGTAAAAAATTTTGAAAACCATTTATCAGTTTCCTTCCTCTTCACAATTATGTGCCACTTTTGTGTTGGTCTATCACATAAAATCTAATAAAATACATTTACATTTTTGGTTGTAACATGACAAAATGTGGAAAATTTCAAGGGGTATGAATACTTTTTCAAGGCACTGTATGTGCTTGAGTTCTGCACTTTACATCTGCTGTTACCATTATGAGGGATTGCGACTCTCTTTGTTGGGTTTTGTCATTTATTTTCTAATATGGATAATGCAATTGAAATAGCAGAAATGTGAAAATAAGCCAGAATGCTCAAAAACTCCCAGGTGGACAGAAACATAATCAGGAATTATGGCAGTGAGAATTTGCTGTTAGAGTATTAAAAAAATATAAGCCAGAGACATACTCATCGTGCCCAAATTATAACTAAAGTTTCACTTATTGGTGTGCTGACACTTTAACTACTTCCCTATCAGGTCAATTCTGACACTTCTCTCCTACATGTAAAGATAAGTAGTTTTTGCTAGAAAGTTACTTATGTAGCACTACCCCCTTAGAAGTTATTACTTTCCCAATAACTTGCACCCAGGAGACAGTAACCAGTCCTTCAGCTTGTTTTGACGCTTTATTAGGGGATTTGAATTGGGATAGTGTTAGGGGTGTACAGGATTCCTAATGGAATTGTGAAACTGAGGAAAACCTCCTGGAACTATATACAGGTTTTTTGCAGCAAAATCCCCTTCTTGGAGAGCTAGACAGTATCTCCGGTTGTACCACCCCAGACCCTAGATACTCCTTTGTCCAACTGTTCTGGGGGAATCCTTGATCGCAGGATCCAGTGCCTGTCACTTTAAGAGATAAAACAGTACCGGGTAATCACTAATCTGATTTCCCACCTGAGTGCTCCTTCCCCTATTTGGCCCAGGGGGTGCAGGTTTACTCACTTAGTCCTTCTCCTGTGTTGCTGGTGGGTTGGTGGCTGCTACCAGGCCTTCTAGCTGAGCTCCTTCCCTGCTACACAGGTGGTCCTCTCTCAGGGGGTTTGTGAATTCTCAAGCTTTCCTTCTTCCAAGGTTCTCCGGCTGGTAGTTGAGCCCCTCTTTCATCTGGGCCCCCTCCCAGGCTTCTGCTCTCCAGTTTCACTTCCTCATCTTCCCCCCAAACTCTCTCCAACTCTCCTGCTGCTGAGCAGGCTCAGTTAGCCTTAAATGCTGTCCTGGTCCCTTGCCAAATCTCCTGTTGGGGATTTGCCAGGATCTGCTAAGAGTACAGACCAGCCACTCCTCACGTCCGTTTTCTTGAAAGTTCTAGAGCAGGGACCAGAGCTGGTCTGCAGAGCCTCTCAGCTCTGACATTAATTTGACCCTACTAGATATCACAGTCAGGCTGCTACTCAGCCCTTATAGCTATTAGAGTCTAGCTCCCCCTAGCTGACTAAAAGGGTGCTACACTTAGAACCCCCAAACATTACAGATTTTTTAGTAGAGGCCTTACAAAATAAAATGGTGAGTGTTGCAATTTTTTTATTTCACACTGTATTTGCGCAGCATTTTTTTAAACGCTAATTTATTGGAAATATACACTTTAATTAATTTGATTGCACAGAAACACTATATAATACCTAACTGATAAAATATAAAAGGTGATGTTACGCTGAGTAAATAGATATCAAACATGTCATACTTTAAAATTGTGTAAGCCCGTGGAATGGCACCAAACTACAGTACCTAAAAATCTCCATAGGAGACGCTTTAAAAGCCTTTACGGGTTACCAGTTTAGAGTTACACAGGAGTTCTGGCGCTAAAATTATTGCTCTCACTCTGAAGTTCATGACAATACGTCACAAGTGTTGTGCGATCACCGTTTACAAGTGCGTGCGGAACATTATTTATTTTATTTGAAACTTTTTTTACATTGTCTCTTTAGTTTTTTTTTTTTTTATCAACTTTATTTCTTTCACAAGGGATGAACAACATTCCTTGTAAAAACATGGACAGTGACAGGTCCTCTTTGTGGAGAGATCTGGGGTCTTTTAGACCCCAAATCTCTCCTCTGGCTTCCAGCTGCTTTGTCTGCTAACGGCAAAGTAAACAAAGAACCAAATCCTCATCACTTCCAGTTTCTGGGGTCACAGAGAAGGAGGAACAATGTCAGTTCCTCTCTCTGTGTAGTGCCACCATCACCACCGGAGAGCGGCGATGATTGGACGGGAGAGCCAGAGAAAGATGGAGGTGGAGAGGGAGACCCCTTTGTGTCACCCACAGAAGTGATCAAGTGGCTATTAAGCCACTCAAATCACTTCTGCATAAAAAGGAATAGTTTGTGTAATGGCCTGTGTAGAAGATGCACAGCATGTGTGATTTTTTGAAAGGCTTTATTTCTTTGATTTCTAGTGAGAGAATGGGAGAATTTTCTAATCCGTATATGGAAGTTTGCTTTAACATATGAACTTTGAAAAAGACAGCAAAGTATATTACAGCGATTCTAAAGGTTCCTTTTTTTTTTGTAAAATAACACACGTCTATACTTACCTACTGTGTGCAGTGGTTTTACACAGAGCAGACTGGATCCTCCTCTTCTCAAGTCCCCCGAAGGCTCTCCTGGCTCCTCCTTTCTGTCGGGTGCCCCCACAGCAAGCAGCATGCTGTAGGAGCACCAGCTGCTCCATGTGTCCATTCACACATGGAGCCATGGCTTAGCCTTGCCCCCTCTCTCTCCTCATTGGCTGACTGGCTGTGATTGACAGCAGCGGGAGCCAATGGCTACCACTTCCTGTCTCAGCCAATGAGGAGGCAGAGACCTGGGACAGCCAAGGCTATCATTAACAGCACTGGATCGCGATGAAGCTCAGGTAAGTATTCAGGGGACTGGGGGCACTGCTCCACACAAAAAGTTTTTTTACCTTCGTGCATAGAATGCACGAAGGTTAAAAACCGTCAGCCTTTACAACCACTTTAAGGTCTGGTATTTGTGAAATTGTTATTTTGATCTGCCTATGGGGGGTAGCTTATTTCCGGCTGCTGGGTAACTTAACACTTTCAGGAGCTGAATACCGTATTTATCATCCCAGTACACCCACTTCAACCCAAGGACATCTGTAAGGGATTTCCGGCAAGACGAATTGTGATTAGAAATGCGCATGCACATAGGAACTCCCGGAGAAGAGTTGTCGGTTGTGCGCATGCGCGCACAAATGTGCAATCGCGCAGGTGCACACGCACGGATAAGATTGGCGCCAGACAGGCTATTTAAAGAGTGTCTCTGCCCATGTTAGATGCTGACTGGTCTTCAGCTCCCCTGTGTCCTGCTTGTTCCTGTGTGATTCCTTTGTTGCTGACCCGG